GCCTGTGTTTTTTCACAGTCCTGGCACATAGGCCTCCCATAGTCATGAGCACCCAGGCCCCTGTTAGTTCTCCCCACCAGAGTCAGGAGTGTGTACTCAGCTGGTTGCTGGGTGCAGACATGAGCTGGTGCAGCTGTTACATATGTCAAAAATGGCATCCGCTCTATCACCATTGCAGGGTGATTTTGGCAAGAGAAACATGCCCCTCCTTTATTTTTTGTTTGTTTGTTTGTTTGTTTCTCCTCTAGTTTGGCAGATTCACTATCCCCCACGGGGCTCCAGGCCAAGTTCCCTCTAGGCTCTTCCTGCAGCTTTATCACCAGTGGCTTGGGCTGCTGCAGTCTGGTCTCACCTCACATTCCAACGCTGGTGTGTAGGCTCCTGAGTTGTAGTTCTACTGTGTTCCTCTAATTTGTGTATGGTTTCCTCTGCTGTTTTCTCCCCTTCTCTGAGACTACACTCTCCACTATTTTTAAGCTATCTTCTCCTAGACTAGTGCAGTCAGCTCCCTCTCTGCTCCGCCATCTTGGAAGCTTACCCCCAAAATAGGCATCTTACTCATTATTTTGAAAAGGGCTTTGATAATATACAAGACAGGGCAGGCAAAGTCATAAGGTCTGTAGCTATTGTTGAAGTGCTAGGCCACGAAGAAGAGATGGAAAAGCACCCTGTCAGCACCTGACAGTAGTGTGAAGTGGGGTGGGTGGCGGTGAATCATGCAGGTTGCAATTGGAAAAGCAATCGCATTTTGATGGGGGAAAATGTAATCCGACAGTGCTTTAAACTTGTGACCTTATTTCAGTGAAAAGATTCACAGAATTGTGGAAGATGTTTTTTCCAGGTTTGTGATTCAAATCACTTGTCCTCAAAAAAAATTTTTACTTCTGTTCTTTATGAAAATAACATATCCTTAGAAAATATAAGGAAAATATGAAAATAAAATATTTCCATCGTGCAGAAATTTTGGTGTTTTTTTTCCTCTATTCAGTTTTGCATATGTTTATACATACAATTTGTTGTATCATATTGTTTATACAATTTTGTATCAAGTGGGTTTTTTTGTAGCATTGTAACATAAATGTTTTTCTATTAAAAATGTTTTCCAGGCATAATTCTTAATAGCTGCAATTTTTAACAAATGTGCCATCATTGCGTTTTCCGTTCGCCTGGTGGTAATGAGGCTCTTTCCAGGTTTTTTTTTGCTCCCTAATTATAACTATGTGAAGAATATGTTTTTGTTACTATGTGAAAAATGAAATTTTATTTGCATTTAGATTGTGTCCTTAGCATGAAGTCTTAGAAATGACATTATCAGTTCAAAGTGTATGCTGAAGTTCTTGCAATTCTCTATGAACTTGTGTTAAAACTGTTAACAAAGTATGAATCTGCCATTAATTAAAAATATTTGTCTTTGTTACCCTTTAACTTTTGATGTAAATTTTACATTTTCATGTATTTTTATTCATTTCCTTTTACATTTGTGATTTTTTTTTTTTTTTTTGCTGTTTTTTTAGTTTACAGGATTCTTTCTTACAGGCTTAGAAAATAGTCTTTTTATGATTTGATCACTTTGAAGTTTATTTTTTTCTGGAGTAGGAAATACGTATCTGTATTAGCTGTCGATATACTTTTCCTTTAGGAGCCAGATCTTCACTGTCTTAGGCTTGTGGGTCATGATCTCCTTGGCAAGACTCAGCTCTGCCATTACAGCACAAAGGTGGCCATCAGTAAATGAAGAGAGGTGACAACTCCATTGAAACTTTGCTTACGAAACTAGGTAGAGGGCTCAGCTTGGCTCTTGGGTTGTAGGTCATTGATCTCTGAATTTAACTCTGAAAAACTGAAGTCTGGGTTTTTACCCTACTTGGAAGCTAGCAAGTTAGCCTGCCACAGTTTCATGGATGTTGATAGGAGACATGAGCCTCCTGGTCACAGACAAGACCAGGGTAATACAAGTAATAGCAGTAGCTGGAATATCATCATTTTTTCCTGAGCCCTAGTTCCTATAAAGCCGCCCCAGGGGGCCCAGGTAATAGCCACACATGAAAGAGGAACCCCAGGTTAGGGCACATGGATCTTTTATAATTGGCAGCAATCCTGCCCAACTTTGACCTCATTGGAGTACATTACCTTTATCATAACAGACAAGAAATGCACCTGCCATTTGCTTCAGAGGGAGCTGCTTTCTCTGTCTTCTAGAGCTCTTCACTGTGCATTTTGGGAAAGATAGTGGAGAAGGAGGCAACCATGGGGCCAGCATTGTGGCACAGTGGGCTAAGCCACTGTCGGTGACACCAGCTTTCCTTATGAGCAGCAGTTCAAGAACCAGCTGTTCCAGCTCCCCTCTAATGCACCTGGGAAAGCAGGGGATGGTGGTACAAGTGCCTGGCCCCCATGCTCCCCATATGGTGACCTGGATGGAGTTCCAGGCTCCTGGTTTAGCCTGGCACAGCCCTTTCCATTGTAGCCATTTGGGGAATAAACCAGCAGATGAGAGATCTCTCTCTCTCTCAATCGCCATCTCTCTCTGTCACTCTGCATTTCAAATATTAAAAAAAAAAAAAAAAAAAAAAAAAAGCCAACCAGTGATCAGTGTCTCTATGTGTTCAGAGAGAGACCCATAGGGTTTTTTGTTTTTTGTTTTTGTTTTTTTGTTTTTTTGGTTTTTTTTTTTTTTTGACAGGCAGAGTGGACAGTGAGAGAGAGAGACGGAGAGAAAGGTCTTCCTTTTGCCATTGGTTCACCCTCCAATGGCCGCCGCAGCCGGTGCACCGCGCTGACCCAAAGGCAGGAGCCAGGTGCTTCTCCTGGTCTCCCATGGGGTGCAGGGCCCAAGCACTTGGGCCATCCTCCACTGCACTCCCAGGCCACAGCAGAGAGCTGGCCTGGAAAAGGGGCAACCGGGACAGACTCTGGCGCCCCGACCGGGAGTAGAACCCGGGGTGCCGGCACCTCAAGGCGGAGGATTAGCCTGGTGAGCTGCGGCACCGGCCCATAGGGTATTATCTCCCAACTGTCCCCCACATACGCCCTCCATCCCCCAGTACCTTCTTCCCCTGATTGATGTGTGCAGAGTCTAGTCTAGTCTCTGAGCTCTGCTGGACTACAGCTGCATTTTTATTTTCCTCTTTTTTTTTTTTTCAGAAAGATTTATTTATTTCTTTGAAAGAACTAGAGAGAGAGAGGGAGAGATGGGAAAGCTAGAGGTCTTCCTTCTGCTGGTTCACTCCCCAAATGGCTTCAACAGCCATTGCTAGGGCCACAATGAAGCCAAGAGCTTCATCCGGGTCTCCCACATGGGTACAGGGGACCAAGCATTTGGGATATCCTCCATTGCTTTCCCAGGTACATTAGTAGGGAGCTAGATTGGAAGCAGAGCAGCCAGGACTTGAACCAGCACCCATATGGGATGCTAGTGTCTCAGGTGACAGCTTAAATAAGTATGCCACAACTCCGGTCCCATACAGTTGCATTTTGTTTGTCTTTATGACAAAAATTCATGAGTGAATGAATCTGAAGCTATCTGTATATTTTCTCTGCATTCATATCATGATCGCTTTTAGTTCTAAGTGCTTATTACTTTCAGATCTTTTCCTTTTTGACCCACCTATCCTACTGATTTTCAGATATGGGAGTTCTTTCAAAATGTAATGTCTAGGGCTTTCTGCTCTGGGCAAGATGGCATAAGCCCTTTTATTCCTGCTCCTTCTCTCTAAAAACCCTGAAGAAAGTCACAAGAGGCAGCCCAGCAAGATCTCTGAAGGGTAGAAAGAGGAAGCCCTCTGGTTTGGGCCACCATGAGTGGAGGAACAACACCGAAGCAGGAGAAGGTTTGTGCACCTAAAGCAAGGAGGTTTCCTGCTCTAACCTGCACCTCGGCAGGCTCATTTCTTCCCCAGCTCAAAATGGGAGTCCCTTCCACAGGACCAGGCAAGCCCATTAGCACTGGCACAGGGGATCGACTGCGATTCTCACCAATAAAAAGCAGCCAGTGCAAGTGCCCACCCTCCCTTCCTATGCCTGAAATTCCTCTTCCTTGTCAGGAGATGGCAGGCTGGCCAAGTGGAAGCAGAGGGAGAGAGAGAGGCCCCACTCCCCAGCACGTGGCCAGGCCTGGGCAGTGCTCTCTCTCCATCACTGCGGGCTGAGTCTCCCTGTCCCTACCCAGGATTCATGTGCTGGCTGGCTGACACTTGCAAGAGGGGACTAACAGGGGACTGCTCCACAGGTAGCCTCTTCAGCCTTGTCAGTCTGAGACTGTTCTCTCTACCTGGAGATACTGGGCTGCCCGAGAGCACAGCCTGGAAGAACTCTGCTGCAGAAGTAGCCTGGGCTGGGAAGCCTTGTCCATGGAGAGACCCCAGTGGGCCAACCCCTGGCAATACCAGTGGGAACCACAGGCAACCCAAGATAAAGTATACTGCAAGGACTTTAAACATTAAGCTGCTGTTGGAACTACAACACACTCAAATAGGCCAGGATCTGTATGCTAGAAACAAAGTGACTACCTGCTAAAGTAAAAAATTTAGGCAAAAAAAAAAAAAAAAAAATCACCTATCCTATCAAGCATCAAGAAAATCCAGCTTGAATAAGAAAAGATAATCAACTGACACCAACAGCAGATGAAATCAACTGAGTAGGATTTTAAAATAGCTGTCATAAAAATGCTGCAGCAATCAGTTATAAGTTGTCTTGAAACAAATAAATAGAACTCAGCAAAGAAATAGAAGTTAAAAAGAAACCAAAAGAGAATTATAAAATTGAAAAGAATCATAACTGAAATTTAAAAAAAAAAACCACAGATGAGCTCAACAGTCAGAGATGACCAGATAGGGTCAGTGACCTTAGCAGATGGATGGAACTATCTGGGAGCAGAACAGATCAATACAATTTACCCAGTCTGAATAAAGACACAAAAATAGGTTGGGATGAAAACATTAAGAAAAACCTTGGATATTCCTAGGACAGTACTAAGAGATGCCACATTTATGTCCTTGGAGAAAGGTGAACGAGAAAGAGTCCAGGCATGGGACGCCTCACAGTGGAGACCCATTCTGAACACCGCGTCGTCAGGTGGACCTAGATGGTGCAGGAGAACTACTCCGTGTGGCCTCCTGATGCAGCCACGATGTGTGGTGGATAAGTGGTACGTGGTTGCTGCCAGCATAATGTATCATATTGTTTTGCAGCAAGATTTATAAGGAGAAAGACTGTACTCTATGATAAGAATATAATTACAAAATACTTAAACCAGTGATATAGTCATTTATCATTACCTGGTATTATGTACTGTGCAATATATGTGCTATATGTTTTTATGACTTTCATCACAGTAGGTTTGTTTATACCAGCATCACCACAAACACGTGGATAACGTGATACACTGCGATTTTATGATGGCTGTGATGTCATTAAGCAACAGAAATTTTTCAGCTCCCTTAAAACTGTATGTGGCTATGTATATGTGGTCCTGTCTTTGACTAAAATGTTACGCAGCTCATGACTGTATTTGAAGAAATAGTGGACAACCTATAGATTCAGGAATCTTAGTGAATCCCAACAAGGATAAAGCCAAAGAAGTTCACACCATAATATCTTTTTTTTTTTTTTTTTTTTTGACAGACAGACAGTGAGAGAGAGACAGAGAGAAAGGTCTTCCTTCTGTTGGTTCACTCCCCTAAATGGCTGCTACGGCCATCGTGCTGCACCTATCTGAAGCCAGGAGCCCGGTGCTTCCTCCTGGTCTCCCATGCGGGTGCAGGGCCCAAGGACCTGGGCCATCCTCCACTGCCTTCCTGGGCCACAGCAGAGAGCTGGACTGGAAGAGGGGCAACCGGGACAGAATCCAGTGCCCAGGATTACCTTTTATAACAAATTGCTGGAGTATTTGGATATCCATGGGCCAAAAAGCAAGCAAGTTAAGAAACCAACCAACCAATTGTAGATCCCTCAAAAAAGAGTTCTCTTAAACCTCACACCTTACGTAAAAATTAATTCAAAATGGATCATAGACTCAAATGAACTTTATAAAGCGATAGTTTTTAAAGATAAAATCAATTCACACATGTTCTATCCTTGTAACTTTCAGCCCTTTGGTAATCAGTTTGTGAATCCCCTTGGAAAGCTCTCCGTGGTCCTGCAAGGCTGCCCAGGTTGCTGTTCCATCCATCCCTGTTCGTCCATGCTCTGTTCTCTATGTGACCTTTCCTCTGTGCAGGCAGAGATCTCGGTCTCTCTTCCTCTTGTTAAGACACTGACAGTCTGGGCTATGACATTAGTGTCCCACACTTGGGACCTCATTTAACCTTTAATTGCCTCCTTAAAGTCTGAATACAGTTGCATTGGAGGTGAGGACATCAGTGTGAACTGAGGGAAAGCACAATTTAGTTCATAACAATACATATTAACTTCTCAATAAAAAAGTGTGTGGTTCATCAATGTCGTTTCTCCACTGTCATAGTGTTTGGTGGAAATTATTCTATAGTGTTGGCATTTGGTGGGCTTTGTTTTTAGTTCCAGTGTCCTTGCCAGGTTTAAATGTTTTGTATGTCATTTGATGTTTTGTTAGGAATTGGGAGGATAATTTGTAGGCAGGGTACTCCTCAGCTGTGCTTTTCCTTTACTTTCTCTCTCTTGTTTTTAAATTTGTGTACTAAGTGTGATGGATAAGGGAACTCCTTTTTCCAGAACAACAACAAAAAAATGTAAGTTTATGATCAACTGGTAAAATAATTAAGCTGGTACGGTTTTGTATAATTTTCTTTCGTTGTAGACAGTATTATAATATTAGCACACTAATGTATGTATGTAAGTGTGTATGTAAAGGCTACCCATCTATATGTCCTCTTTCATTCTCTTTGCTTGCTATAGCAGTTATTAATTTCATATTATTTCTGTCACTAGGCCAAATCGTCACTACCTCTTGCATAACCTACTCAGGTTTCACTGCTTTCACTTTTATAGAAATCAAGCTTGTCTTACACAAAGCTTTGGGATGCATCTTTCTGAAGATAACATCAAAAGCTTGATAATATCCTGATTGCAATCATAAGTTGGTCTGAGATAATACCTTCAAATTACCTTCTTACTTACTATCTGTATGGGTTTTCCCTCCTCACATTAAATACTATTCTTTTGGGAATAATCATGCTTATATGCAGACTGCTTGTCCCCTCGGCTGTCTGAAATAGGTTCAAAATGTACCTGTTCAGTTGACAGAAAGTGTCTTCCGGGATTCATTCCATACTCACCCTCCCTTATTCAAAACAGGAATACTTTTGTGTATGAGAACTTCCCCATTTTCTTAGGAGCCTGTCTTATCTATCCCCTGACGTTATATATTGTTGTACTAATATTATTTGAGGCAGTTGAGTAGATTTGAAAACAGAGGCATCAGTGGTTTTCCCTACAGAGCTTCAGATTTAACGAATCCCAAGTTATTTCATTGAGTTTTAGAAAATCCAAAGCACTATCAACACACTGTAATGTGAAAATACTAATTTTCTGCATCATGCAGATAACTAGTAGGGGTATTTATGGTTCTAAAAACACATGGTTTCTTGTTACAAATGATGCCTTAGTGTTTTCTTTCTTTGCTTTGGATGATTTTATTGAAACTCCTTGTTTCTTTCTTGTCACAGTCAATGCTCCGGGGAGAGGAGGGTGCTATAAACATACATTTTATGGCATTGAAAGCCATCGCTGCATGGAAACCACCCCGAGTCTGGCGTGTGCAAATAAGTGTGTCTTTTGCTGGCGGTAAGCAAAACTTGGTGGCCGTGTGACCAAATATTCCATGAGCTGTAATAACCATTTCTCTTTCTTTAAAGATTTATTTATTTTACTTGAAAGTCACAGTTACACAGAGAGGGAGGGAGAAGCAGAGAGAGAGAGAGAGAGGTCCTCCATCCACTGGTTCACTCCCCAATTGGCCGCACCAGCTGGAACTGCGCCGATCCGAAGCCAGGAGCCAGGAGCTTCCTCCAGGTTTCCCATGCAGGAGCAGGGGCCCAAGGACTTGGGCCATAGCAGAGAGCTGGATCGGAAGTGGAGCAGCCGGGGCTCGAACCGGCACCCATATGGGATGCTGGCACTACTGGTAGCAACTTTACACCACAAAGCCAGCCCCTATAGTAACCAATTTCTGCCCAACACACATTCACTTCTGTAATTAATTCTCTGTTTTTTTTAAATTTCAATTGAAAATCTGTTTCTTTGAAAGGCTTAGTGACAGAGACAGACAGAGGTTTCCTGCCTGTTGGGTTTTTTTTTTTTTTTTTTTTTTTTTTGACAGGCAGAGTGGACAGTGAGAGAGAGAGACAGAGAGAAAGGTCTTCCTTTGCCGATGGTTCACCCTCCAATGGCCGCTGCGGCCGGCGCACCGCGCTGATCCGATGGCAGGAGCCAGGAGCCAGGTGCTTTTCCTGGTCTCCCATGGGGTGCAGGGCCCAAGCACCTGGGCCATCCTCCACTGCACTCCCTGGCCACAGCAGAGAGCTGGCCTGGAAGAGGGGCAACCGGGACAGAATCCGGCGCCCCGACCGGGACTAGAACCCGGTGTGCCGGCGCCGCAAGGCGGAGGATTAGCCTAGTGAGCCGCGGCGCCAGCCTGCCTGTTGGTTTACTCTCTACATGTCTACAACAGCTGGGACTGGGCAGGCAAAGCCAGGAGCTTCAAAATCATTCCTGGTCTTCCATGAAGTTGGCAGGGACCTAACTGCGTGAGGTATCACCATCGCCTCTTATTTTTTTATTTTTTTTAATTTTTTTTTTTTATTTTTTGACAGGCAGAGTGGACAGTGAGAGGGAGAGACAAAGGTCGTCCTTTTGCCGTTGGTTCACCCTCCAATGGCCGCCGCGGCCGGCGTGCTGCATCCGGCATACTGCGCTGATCCGATGGCAGGAGCCAGGTACTTACCCTGGTCTCCCATGGCATGCAGGGCCCAAGGACTTGGGCCATCCTCCACTGCACTCCTTGGCCACAGCAGAGAGCTGGCCTGGAAGAGGGACAACCGGGACAGAATCCGGCGCCGCGACCGGGACTAGAACCCGGCGTGCCGGCGCTGCAAGGCGGAGGATTAGCCTAGTGAGCCATGGTGCTGGCACCATCGCCTCTTAGTTGTGCATTAGCAGGAAGCTGGAATCAGCAGCAGAGCTGGGGACTCAAATCCCAGCATTCTGACATGTGATGTGCGCATCCCAAGCGGCTTCTTAATACTATACCAAATGGCAATTCCTATTTTAAATGTTACATATAATTTAGATTCGGGAAGTGCTTTTTACTGTTGGTTTTCAACTAAATTACATTTCAACTGTGTTGTTCTAGAACATGATCCCTATGATGTAAATTATTGTTTTCTTCTTTTGTTCTTGCTACTCACTCATCTTTCTGCTTCCCTGGCAACTACTTGCTCTTCAGCTCCTCAGTCCACTCTCTCGAGGCCAACTCGTATCTCCATTACCACTCACTGTATGCTCAGTCATGGCTCCCCTACTCTCAGGTCCAAAGAGGTGACTTGATTATCTCCACTGAATTCCAGCAAAGCATTCTGGACAAGAAAGACCCCATCTTCTGTGGGATTCAGATGTGCCAGTCTTTCGAGTCCTTCTGTGTCCTGACCCCAGCCGCCCTTGAATCGTTTCTTCCCAGGTTCCCTTTAGCTCTTCTGTGGCTTGTTCTTTAACTGACGCTTTCCCGCTGGCTCCCTTTGACCGGCTGTTATCACTGCATTATGGCGGTAGGCGTGGTATACCCCTCTCCGTGGCTTCATTGCTTCCTGTAGTCTGAACGCTTAAATACCTCATTCCAAATCCCAGTCTCTCCTCTGAGTTTCATTCTTTCATTTCCAGCTGCCTGTGGATTTATTCTGTGTGATAAACCCACAGGTACTCCGAGCCTAGCTTCCTTATGATGGAATTTATTATGCTCTGTGTTACCCATTCTTCCTCTTTGGGGTAATGGCACCATTAGCTATCTAATGGCCTAGGCTGGAAATTTCTTCCTTTCTGTAACTCACTGTATCCATTTCTTACCCGGCTGGTTCTCATCATTTCTCCCTGTAACAACTGAAGTGATTTAATACTTTCCAGCCTGTGTCTTACTCTATCTTCATATTGGTGGAGAATTTTAACTCTTTTTTTAGAAAATGCATAAAATATATTTTAAAGATTTATTTACTTATTTGAAAGGCAGAAAAACAAAGCAGGAGAGATAGAA